CACACACACACCCATCACACACACACACCCATCACACACACCACCCCACACCCCGATTGTGGCATTTTTAATGGGCAGACTGTGTAACTATCCTATTCAGACTAGAGTTGTCTAGAAATTACATGGCGACTCCCCAAGTCTCCCTATTTTAAAGATGTTTGGGTAATATTTGGGTATTTATTGGAAGCTTTTTTATTAGCTTTGGCAAAGCTGTTTCAACAAAGACAAATTTATAGGTCACCCGAGTGAAATGTTTATTAGTTATCCATGGTGTTTAACAAGGCATTAAGATTTAATTTTTTTCTCCCTAGCCTTTCCAAGCATTAGCAAACATGATTCTTATGAAATGTAGTGTCTACATTGGAGATGAAACTGCTCCGGGTGGACAGAGTAAATGTACTGAAGTATTAAAATATGAATACTAGTGTTCACATTAGTCACCTCTACTGGGCACCCATACTTTATTTTGTTGATTCTTATTAGAGAACTGGAGGCATCTGAAGCTCAACTTCTTTGGTAGCAGATGTCCCCTAAAAGATATTTTGTGTAGAGCAGCAGAGCCTTGTTATTAACGGAGGAGTCTAGTAACAAGTAATAACCCAACCCGCGTGGCGCAGTCGTTGAGCGTCAACCTATGAACTAGGAGGTCCAGGTTGGATTCCAGGTCAGGGCACATGCCTGTGTTGTGGTCTTGATCCCCAGCGTGGGGGTGCAGGAGACAGCCTATCAGTGATTCTCTCATCATTGTTGTTTCTCCCTCTCCCTTCCTCTCTGAAATAAAATATATATATATATATATATAATAAATTCAAAAACAAGTAATAGATACCTGAAAATAATTCATCTACTGTGATTATCAGCCTCTCCTTTAACTGTTCACTTAGAATATTTTCTGCTTTTTGATTTTTAGAAGACGGAGACCTGAAGCAAAGAAATCTGTATCACAAAAAAGTATTCAAGGGTCATGCAAGCCAACTGTAGCCAATTGCAAAGAGCTGCAGGCAGTGAGGCTGCCTCAGCCTCCCAAAGTGTCCACACAAGATTGACAGAAGGTTCTGGTCTTCATTCTGGAGATGTGCATATCCAGATTAACTCCACACCTAAAGAATGTGCTGAAAATCTAAGCTCCAGAAATATAAGGTCAGGTGTCCATAGCTGTACCCATGGATGTGTACAGAGTCACTCACGGAATCAGTCCCGTAACCAAGCAAGGCAGCCTGGTGATACTTCCATGGAGTCTGGAGATCATGGTAGTAGCTCCTACTCAGAATTCCGATATCTCTTCAAGTGGCTGCAAAAGAGTCTTCCATATATTTTGATTCTGGGTGTCAAACTTGTTATGCAGCATATAACAGGTAGGGTATAATAAAATATTGAGTTGTTTCATTGCTAAATTCAGTAAATTTGTTTCTTTATTGGTAATCTACTTTAACCTATGTATTTTTGTTACTGATTTTCTGCTAGCTTTTAAAATTGTAAATATTCCCTTTAAATTCATGTCATTGTGTTAGCTTTTTGATTTTTTTTCTTGCAATTAACTGGAACTTATTATCTAACAGGAATTTCTCTTGGAATTGGACTGCTTACAACTTTTATGTATGCAGACAAAAGCATTGTAAATCAAGTTTTTCTAAGAGTAAGTATAACACAAAACTAAAAAAATTACTAAATGTTTCTCTCTTTAGATCATATACTCATTTTTGAGAGAAATAGTAATTAAGATAGTTTTTTGACAAATTTAAATAGATACATTATAACATCTATAATATATTAAGTTTTATTATCTAAACTAGAGGCTTGGTGCACAAATTTATGCACAGGTGGGGGGGGGGTCCCTCGGCCTGGCCCGCGATCGGAGCCAATTGGGGTCATCTCACCCAGTCCAGGGGGGAGGGGCCACTGGAGGTTGGTCGGCCACAGGAGGTTGGCTGTGGGAGCGCACTGATCACCAGGGGGCAGCTCCTGAGTTGAGCGTCTGCCCCCTGGTGGTCATTGCACATCATAGCTACTGGTCTTAACGGTTGCTTAGGCTTTTTAATACATAGATGATCTGGCATAAATGATCTGTCCTACAGCTGAATTGTTTCACCTTATTTCCTTTGTAAGTTGGGTTCCTGATAGAGAAAGAAAAACTAGATAGAACGGTTAAAAAGTTTAGAATGCACTATTTAATCTGATTTGTCAAGTGCCTTTATGTTTTATGAGTTAGTTTAACCACAGTACATAATATAATCATCATTAGAAACTTTAGCTGTCACACTGTCAGATTTAAAGTAAAGAAAATGTACATTGAATAAATGGGAATCGAACTATTTAGGCCTCTCTTATTTAAAGAAAATTAAACCCAAGTGGTTTTTCCATAACATCCTATATAATAAAAGCCTCTAATATGCTAAATGTCCCACCGTTCATTGGACTGTTCGACCAGTCACTATGATGTGCACTGACCACCAGGGGGCAGACACTCTGACTGGTAGGCTAGCTTGCTGCTGGGGTCCAGCGGATTGGGACTGGGCAAGAGGGGCCAGACACACCCTGGAGCCCTCCCGCAGTCCCTCACCAGCCCCGATTGTGCACTGGTGGGGTCCCAGATTACAAGAGGGCGCAAGCCAGGCTGAGGGATCCCACCAGTGCACGTATCTGTGCATTGGGTCGGTTTCGGCCCCATCCCCACAGGCCAGGGCAAGGGACCCCATTGGTGCACGAATCCGTGCACTGGGCCTCTAGTAAATTATAAAAGAGTTCTATTCATATAAACTATTGGGAAAACTAGGATCAGTTTATAAAACCTCACCTTTAAGCAATTTTAAAGGGCAGTATCTTTGTAAGGATCATGCATTCTGACCTGGAAATTTGTAGTTAGAACCTATCAAACCATAAAAATTTAATTCAGGATTTAAAACTAGTAAAACTTTTAATTAAATCAATAATTGATACTTAATTTTAAAAAATAAATTGCCTTATTAAATTCTTATTGAATGTCTGAGAATTTAAAAATTATACTTATAAACCCTGGTAACTTAAATACACTTGTTAACATTTTGTTTTTTCTGGGAGGCAAAAGTAGGGAGCTGCAGAGGTAAAGTTTACATTTTGCTGGGTCCTTTATGTCGCTTGTAGAAGATTTGGCTTCTTTCAAACATAGGTAATGTTTTTATACAGTGAAGAAACTTGTTATTTTAAAAAGGTGTTTAAATGTGAGTTCTGTTTTGTTCACTAAAGATATATAGAGTGTGATGATGTACAATTTAACAGATGTTCTATATTTTTAATAAGTTTAATCTGTTTAAACATTCTAAGTTAATAGTCATTAAAATAAAAGTTTAATGATATTTAAATCTCTGGCATAATCCAAAGTAATAAATTCTAAAATTGTTTATTTTTCAGGAAAGGTGCTCAAAGATTCAGTGTGCTTGGTTACTGGTATTCTTAGCAGGATCTTCTGTTCTTTTATATTACACCTTTCATTCTCAGTCACTTTATCTCAGGTAATTAGAGATCCAAGTACACAATCATATTTTTATGTAACATATTCCTTAGCACTCTGCATGTATTTTACTTGCATATACTTATTGTTAGAGTTCAATTTTTACCCTTCTCCTTCCAAGATTGAAAGCTTCAAGTGACTTTTTCAGATTTGTGTACCCAGTGTATTGACTCCTAGCAGGCGCTTGATAAATATTTAATTTTTGATACTTAAATTTTTACTTATATCGTCAATAGTTATTAGTTCCATTTAGTCAATATTGGTGGTGGTCTGTTTTTTTTTTATATATTTCTTGCAAATAAAAATGTATACATTTAAGTTTTACATGATGTTTTGATTTATGTGTACATTGTGTAATAAGAACATGATCTTTGCTTGTAGAAATAAAGACTTGCTAAAGGACAATAGTTGTTAAGTTTCCATGTTAGATGGAAGTGTTCTGAATTTTTGGCTCTAATCAGATAATTAGAAGTCCTGGTTTTCAATTGAGTTGGAGAGGTGTGGGCAATTTCAGATATAGTTTGTCAGTGGATCCAATATCACTGATTGGATTGGGTGGGTAGGTAGAGGGGGAAAATCAAGGATGACACCTAGGATTTTCGTCTAAGCAACTGGCTGGATGATGGTACCATTTCCTAGGCTTGGAAAGACTGGGAAAGTAACTGGTTTTGAGGGGAAAAATCAATCATTTGTTTTGAACATATTGATACGTCACATAGAATTGTTAAGTGATTTCAAATATATATGTCAGGAGCTCAGAGTAGAGGTTAGGACTATATATTTTGGTGTTATCAGCATATGAGTGATACTTTAAAAACCAAAACTAACCAGGGAAAGTATAGTCAGAGAAGAGGGCCCAGGACTGGACATGCCCACAATTAGAGGAGCAGCAGCAAAAGAAACCAGGAAGGAACCATCAGTCACAAATGAGATCTAGGGAGTGTAGTGTTAGAAGTCTAGGAATAATAATCCAGGGAGGTAAAGGGAAAAAGGGACATGACCTTTGAATTTAGCAAGGTGGAGGTAGTTGGTGATCTGTACAAAAGCAGTTCAGTGGAAAGGAGGGAATGGAATCCAGATTGGAGTTGGTTGAGAAAATGACAGATATTTAATATTAGTGAATTTTTTTTAGATTACAGGCTAGAAAAGTATCAACCATGACAAGTTGGGAAGACTGTTCTTTTATACTACGGAGCAGGGGTCCTCAAACTACGGCCCGCGGGCCACATGCAAATACAAATATTGCATTTGTTCCCGTTTTGTTTTTTTACTTCAAAATATGTGCAGTGTGCATAGGAATTTGTTCATAGTTTTTTTTAAACTATAGTCCGGCCCTCCAACGGTCTGAGGGACAGTGAACTGCCCCCCTGTTTAAAAAGTTTGAGGACCCCTGCTATAGAGCAATGGTTCTCAACCTTCCTAATTCCGCGACCCTTTAATACAGTTCCTCATGTTGTGGTGACCCCCAATTTCATTGTTACAAATTGAACATAATTAAAGCATAGTGATTAATCACAAAAACAATATGTAATTATATATGTGTTTTCCGATGGTCTTAGGCGACCCCTGTGAAAGGGTCGTTCGACCCCCAAAGGGGTCGCGACCCACAGGTTGAGAACCACTGCTATAGAGGAAAGATGCAAAATTAATACATTTTAAAAGTCTCTTTAAAATAAGCAAAATGTTCTTCTGTTTATGTGAACTCTAACACTTGCCAATTTTATATTTTTTACACATCAAAATAAATATTCAGTAGCAAATTAAAAACCCCCATGAACACTTTACCTTTGTATGTTGCTCTGGTAAATTTTGATGTTTTTCTCTTGGTAGCTTAATTTTTTTAAATCCTACTTTGGACTATTCGAGCTTCTGGGAAGTACTTTGGGTTGTTGGAATTACAGATTTCATCCTGAAATTCCTCTGCATGGGCTTAAAATGCCTTATTTTATTGGTGCCTTCTTTCATCATACCTTTTAAATCCAAGGTAAGCAACTAAAATGTTTTGTTGGTACAATGTTAACAAACCACACTAATGCTATTTAGTCTCAACCCTAATTTTAATTATATTATCTCAGACTGGCCACCATTTGCTCAAAGACTTAAGCCAAAATATTGATCTAGAAAAATAATCAGAATTATATTTGCTTCAGCATCATCTAAAAATTAATTCCCATATCATATAGGGGAAAATATTAGATTTGTACTTTAGTTCTCCAGGGCATTATCAATTGGTAATTGATAACTAACTATATGCTATTATTCAGTTTTTCCCATATTCAATTTAATAAAGTATTTGTGCAATGTATATAAGGAGCAAAGTAACTATTTGTTCTTCCTTTTTAGGGTTACTGGTACATGCTTTTAGAAGAATTTTGTCAGTATTACCGAACTTTTGTTCCCGTACCAGTTTGGTTTCGTTACCTTATAAGCTATGGGGAGTTTGGTAATATAACAAGGAGGAGTCTTGGAATATTGCTGGCTTTACTCTACCTCATACTAAAAGTAGGTAACATTCTTAATCTTGTCTTATGATTCATATGATTACTGATTTACTTAACATTGCTTTTCTTATTAACTATTTTACAGTTTATTTTTTCTTTATTTAGATTGACATAATAGATTCTGTATCTAGTTAGAAATGGAGTAATGGAAATACAGTCTTTATCTTAATCCAGTGGTTCAGATTTTATTGGGGGAGTGGACTTCCACATAGCATGGATTATAGACGGGGAAGAAGAGAGAGTAAGTAGAATAGAACATACCCATCTCCAACAGCAGCATCTGTCCTACACATAATTCTGAAACTAGAGAATCTTATCCTGTTTCTTCTATGTCTTTTCCCCTCAGCTTAAATCACTTTATGAAACTTTAAAATCTAAATATGTTAAAAACATGTGAACCATGTAAAATTGCCTTGTCTTTGACATAGTTAACTTTATATATAAAAGCCTAAGCGACCTTTATGACTGAATGACCGGAACGACCGGTCAACCAGTCACTATGACGCACACTGACCACCAGAGGCAGATGCTCGATGCAGGAGCTGCCCCCTGGTGGTCAGTGTGCTCCCATAGCGGGAGCGCCGCTCAGGCAGAAGCCGGACTCACGGAGCCTCTCCTGCCTGCACAGCAGTGCTACCGAGTGGCTGTGGCAGCAGCAGCAGGCACAGCGGGGCTGGGGTGAGTGGGAGCTGCATGGCACCGGCTCAGGCTCCTACCCAGCTGCCTGCCACTTAGCGCACTGCTACATCCCTGGTACAACATAAGCCTGCAGTTACAATCTCCGGAGAACAGTTGAAGCATTGAAGTATGGACACTCAGAGTAACCAGGAGGAGCCTGATATGGCCACCGGGCTCCTGGAACTCTGCCTCAGGCATTGAGATCAAATCTCATCCCTTACCAATTGCCCTGGAGCTACAGAGGAAGGCAGCAATATAACAGTGGCCACAAGCGGCAACTGACAATCGGGGTAAAACTCAAAGAGAGATGGATCTGAAGGGTGGGGGCGTGGGCAACAGAGCACCCCCACCCTCCAAGACCCCCAACCTCGTATTGTTCACCTTGGCGTGTCTCTTATCTTGCTCTGAGCAATGGAAAGCATCCAGCATGGCCCAAGGTGTCTACCGGGGACTTCCAGGCAGGCAAGGCGCAACCCTGGCAGCAGAAGGGTCAGGGTTGCGCAAATATTTTTTCAGGAAACGGTGGGAAGGAGAACAGACTTCTCGGCGGCTCAAGGGGATGTGGAAACTCCCCGGGCACTTGGGTGTGGGCTCCAGATTGCCTCTCAATGTGATTGAATCCGTGCACTGGGCCACTGGTGTGTGTATATATATATATATGTTTTTAAAATATATTTTTTTGTTGATTTTAGAGAGGAAGAGAGAGAAACATCAATGATGAGAGAGAATCATTGATGGACTGCCTCCTGCAAGCACCCAACTGGGGATCGAGCCCACTACCTGGGCATGTGCCCTTGACCGGAATCAAACCTGGGACCCTTCAGTCCACAGGCCGACAATCTATCCACTGAGTAAAACCAGCTAGGGCTAACTTTATATTTGTCTTGACCAAGTTGTACCTCTAGGTATTCAGATTTTTTTTTTGGTTAAGAGTTGATTGAAATCTATAAATTGAATAAAATATTTTATAAGTGGACTTTAAATATATTTAGATTGAAATGATTACTCATGATATTCAATGAACATTATGCTATTATCAGTATTTGATATCGTGGCATTTTAGCTTTGTTCCCTGGGTTTAGCAGATAGGGCTCTTGGAATTAATGAATAATCTCTTATTTCCTTTTTCAGCTTTTGGACTTTTATGAACATCTAAGAAATTTCAGACAGGTTTTGAGAAAATTTTTTACACGACCAGTAAGTATATTTTAATTGTTTAAGAAAAAACACTTTTAACCTTTTTTTCATTACAAAAAAAAAAAAAAGTTAATTCAGCTATTTTAAAAATATGGATTTCATTACAGTTTTAAAACTTTTTTAGTACTTTGGCACTTGGGGTTATGAGAATGATTTAGGAGTTTTATCTATGATCAATTTCTTAACTTGCATATTAACTTTACCAAGTGCTTATATATTTGAATGTCCTTGCCCCTTCTAATCATTTGACATTCTTAAGGGTTTATAAACATTCCTTTAAAAATCTTGTCATGAACTTTTGTTCCTTTTCCTTTTTTAATCTACAAATGGTGGCTTTGTGTATTTCCATTAACTCCTTATTCAATTTCTGTGAAAGCACTGTAATTTATTGTGTATATGAAAAAAGCTCAGTACCAAAAATCAAGTCCCTTGAAATTTTCTTACTGGAAAAATTTCCCCATCAATACTCAACTCTATATGCACAAACTAGAGGCCCAGTGTACATTTGTGCACTTGAGGGGGGAGGGTGGATCCCTCAGCCTGGCCTGCACCCTCTCCCAGTCCAGGAGCCCTTGAGGGATGTCCACATCCCTCTCGTAGTCCAGGACCCCTTGCTCCTTACTGCCCGCCTGCTGGCTGCTCCTTACCGCCCGGTTCGCTGCTCCTTAGCGCTGCCGGGGAAGCAGGAGAGGCTCCTGCCACCACCACTGCACTCGTCAGCTGTGAGCCTGGCTTCTAGAGGAGCAGCGCTTCCCCTGTGGGAGAGGCCTGACCACCAGGGGCAGCTCCTGCATTGAGCGTCTGCCCCCTGGTGGTCAGCGCGCATCACAGCAACCAGTCATCCCACTGTTCAGTCGATTTGCATATTAGGCTTTTATTATATAGGATACGTTCAAGGCATGGAATTTAACAAAGCTGACACTCCAGCCTGATCAGTGAGGCTCAGTGGTTGAGCATCGACATATGAACCAGGAGGTCATGGTTCCATTCCCAGCAGTGCACATACCTGGGTTGCAGGGGTGTGCAGGAGGCAGCCAGTCAGTGATTTTTCTCTCATTGATGCCTCTCTCTCTCTTTCCCCCTTCCTCTATGAAATCAATAAAAAAATTTAAAAAGTGACACTCCAGTGTCAATTATAAACTTGATTTATTATGTGATTCTACTGAGATTACAAATTGCAGACAAAGGTTGTCATAGGCTCATTTGCTACTTAGTAGCCTTTGTGGTCAACAGGCTTCAGAGTTTGATCCTCAGTTTTGCAGTGCATTAAGTACTTACTTTGTCAGGACTCAGGGGACCTTACTAAAAGAATGCCAACATAATGATGAATGCTGAAAAACAAAAAAGAGGACTGTATCTCCAAAGTGGGCCATACTAACTGGTCCACTAACATATATTCTTTCTCTAATATATAGTAAATGTAGTAATAAGTTTTGCTGCATACTATTCAAACTTCATTCTTTAGACAAGATATAATGGAGAGTTCAGCTTTGGTCAGATTTATTCAATTCATTATGTGAGTATCAGCTATTTTACTCTAATCTAGTAAGGCTTATACTGAAATAGTTTGATATTCTCTGTGAAGCAGAAAGAATATCACAGTCATCCATATTCTTTGATTTATTCTTGAGATTCTTAGGGGTTCCTTAACCTTGCCATCACCATCAAGATAAACCTTCACTTAAAAGGAGTCCGCAGTATGCCAGACAAAAATGCTAATTTAAAAGCTTGTCAGCTTCCACTCTTGGAGATGTACTCTGCTAAATGTCACTGAAAGGATTGGCACCAAGGTCATCTATCAGTAACCTGAAAAATCATAATTTTTAATATTTTATTTTTTGTCTTAAATTGACTTTGTTAACCCTCAATGTTCAGTAGAAGTTTAGAGCGTAACTTCAGACCATGCTTTGCTCTCATTACCATGATTGACTGAACTTGGGTGTTCTTACTTCCCATTAGCCACCTTTTTCCCATCATTTCTACAGAAAGCTGATCTTATTTGTAACATTTTGTCACATCTAGTTAATAATTAAATTCTCCTGAATTTGGTGAGGAGTTATTAAGAACTTAGATCAGAAACTTTTTTAGTACATCAGAAGAAAAGGAAATTCAAAGAACTGCATTTTTATGCTGGCAGTTAATTTTGAACATATAACTCTATCCAAGTGATATTTTGCAATTACAGTTCTTTTATAAAATGTTAATCATTTTTTTCCTAGTACTAAATGCTCTGACTTATGTGATAATTAAGGATAATAATTAAAATTATTTTTAGATTTAGTGGCAAGACACTGTTCAGTCGTCCCCAAACCTTCTTCAGATTGAACTCACCTGGAGAACTTACAAAAACTTCAGAGTCCTGTTGTCACATCCCAGTATGTCTGGACCTGAGTCAGTCTCCAGTATGGAGCACAGAAGTCTGTTTTTTAAAGCAGTCTTTCCACATGAGTTGCATTCAGTCAGCCACACTCTGGACTGACTTTTTAGAACCACTGCCATAGATAATAAATGGGCCCAATTTGGCAATATGAGGTCACCTAATACATTAATATATAGGTTTTATAATAGCTCTATTTCAGATTGCTTAGTTTCTTATGCCAGTTGAATTGTGTTGAATTTGAAGCCTGTATTTTAGAATCCAGTTATTCTAAAAATCTTTCAAGATCCTATTATGGCCTAACCGGTTTGGCTCAATGGATAGAGCAGCCGTGGGCAAACTACGGCCCGTTTGAAATGAATAAAACTAAAAAAAAAAAAGACCGTACCCTTTTATGTAATGATGTTTACTTTGAATTTATATTAGTTCACACAAACACTCCATCCATGCTTTTGTTCCGGCCCTCCGGTCCAGTTTAAGAACCCATTGTGGCCCTCGAGTCAAAAAGTTTGCCCACCCCTGAATTAGCTCAAAGAAATTTGTATTGAGGAAAATATAGCTCTTAATAAGCTCTTAAGACATGTGTCTTAGAAGTGGTCAAATTCCTCTCTGAAAAAAATCAATAAAATATATATTTTTTTAAAAAGATTCTATTATGTATTTAATGAGTTCACCTTGATGCAGTTCATCAAGATGTGGTTCTGCATATGTAGTTCAGCTTTGAAAGTTTGTATCCTGTGGGAGAGTTTTCAAGTGCCTAGTTCCAGAAATATTTGAAAAATATAGCACCACCTGCATATTGGAAGTGCAGGAAAGAAACTGGTAAATGAAAATAACTTCTTATCTTTATAGAGTTATGGAGTGGCTGCCAGCAAGAGACAGTGTTCAGATGTGGATGATATTTGTTCAATATGTCAAGCTGAATTTCAAAAGCCAATTCTTCTCATCTGTCAGGTAATTATATTTTTAAGCAACCTAAATACAACACTTTACTGTGACTTGCAAGGCACATTTATGTTAGTTATAAGGAAAAAGACAAACTACATGTTTAGCAGAAAGTAGCATTCAGGGCACATATTGGTAATTTCTTATTTGTGATTACAGATTTGGTAGGTTAGCTAAATCTTGTCTCTATATGTTCTAATGATTTTTATGCAGAGGAGTGTATGAAGGGGAAAAATAATTCAAATGGCAGATTGTCTACCAATGTGATTTAAAAAACAGGCTATTTGTAATAATGGATATTAGTCTTTTAGAATAATACCAGCATTTGTTATTGGATTGTGGAATGCCCTTTCCTATACTTTATGGCAGTTACTCTCAAAGACTTACTAAGCCATTAAGTCATTATACTTGATCTTAAAGTTATCACCTAGAGATAGCTTGTATTTGATTAAAAATGATTAAAGGATAGTATAGTCAAAAAAAAGGAACACTAGTAGCTCTTACCAGTAACACCATTCTTTTATTCTGGAATGTCATACTTTGTTTTCTCATTTGCAAAATGAAGGGATTAGTGCTCTCCAAAATCCCTTTCAGCTCTAAAGAGTATGATTGTCTATAATGAGATGAATTTAAAATAAAAATGTTATCAAGTTTAAAATGTAGTTCTTAATTTCCTTACAGCATATATTTTGTGAAGAGTGCATTACCTTATGGTTTGACAGAGAGAAAACATGTCCGCTGTGCAGAACTGTGATTTTAGACCATATAAACAAATGGAAAGATGGAGCTACTTCATCAGACTTCCAGATATATTAAGTTGTATAAACTGTTAAAGCCACAAAACACTTGTGTTGTAGTCCAGTTTATCACGATTGTTCAACCTAATGCCTATGCGACATTTATTCTATCCTAATCATTTGACAGATGATTGCAGTGTTAAATTATGTTTTCTTGTTAATTTTACCAAAAAAGCAATTGGATAACTAGAACCAGTTCTTAGAGGAACTCAGGTATTCTTTCCTGACATTGTTTTCAGAATAAAGAATATTTTTAATATTTTAAGATACACATTATCTGAAAGTCGAATTTTCTTTTGCATTGACTTTTATATTTCCAATAATAAAAATTCTTAAAATTTTCATAAAAGTTGTATTTTTAAATGAACATTCTAAATGCTATATTTTACTTGTAACAGATTTTCTAAGTGAAGATTTACTGAGGGTGATGTATTTTAATATTGTGTTATTCTCTATAGTATGATTAGCAATCAATGAGAAATACATGATTTAAATGTATTGTTTGTTGACCTCATACATACAATCCTGCCATCGGTTTTAATGTTTGTGATCTTGCTTTTTGTATAGTGCCATGGACTATCTTGAAGTACCTATTAAAATAATTCACATGGATTACAAATAGCTGGCTTCACTGATGATTTGAATAGTGTAACAGACAAGACCAACTCAAATCTTAGAAAACAATTCCCCTTATAACTAAATAGTTTTCTCCAGAAGTGTTTTGGAATATAATGCTTGAATCACCATTACTTAGATTAAAGCCTGCACTCAGAGGCAACCAGATGCTTTGGATTGTGTCGTTTGTTTGCCTCTTAAATGTTTGTGTAATATGGTGGAAAAAGGAATGGGGCACTATCTCCCTTTAAAACCTCTAAGGGGGAACCAAGACCTACTACCAGAAATCTGAAGTGGTAGTCATATCTAAATTTAAGAGTACAAGGCCTCTGCCCATTTTCTCTGTTCCCATCTATCAGTTTGAACACAAGGAAGAGATAGAAGAAATTAGGAGGTAGAGGCAGAAAACAAATTTGCAGTGTTAAGACAAAGGCTAAACCAATGTATAGATTAACAAGGATAGTGACCAACCAGGTACAGGTTAAGTCACTTTTATGCCTGTATGGCGACCCTAATTTGCAAAAGAACTTCAGAAAGCCTGTAACTTTTTTCCTCAGGTAAATATTGCCATAAGTACACCTATTTCTATTCATTCACTGATTATATATTTAACTATTATCTCCTTTGAGAACACTGCAAATATTGAAACAAGCTTACTGACTTTGTGGTGAAGCTAATAGTTATTTAGGTATACAGCAAGGGATGTGTGAAAAAGGCAATTTGGAATTAGAATTTGAGTGTGAAGAGAGAAAAGCTGACTTCTTGTTAAAACACAAGAATAGTATATCTTACTACATGGGTTACTTCAACCCTATTACGTTACCTATTTACCCTATGGCTATACTAGAGGCCCAGTGTACGGATTCGTTCACTGGTGGGGTCCCTCGGCCTGGCCTATGCCTTCTCCACGCCTGTGCCCTCTCACAATCCAGGACCCCTCGGGGGATGTCCAACATCCCCTAAGGGATGTCATAGTGTGTGAAGCAGCAGGCAGCCGGGGAGGAGCCCAGGCGCAGCTCCCACTCATCCCTGCCCTGCTGTGCCCACTGCTGCTGCCTCAGTAGCGCGCCTCCGCAGCAGTGCCCGCCAGCAGTGAGCCCAGCTTCTAGCGCCCATCAGTCAGCTGAGCGGAGCTCCCACTGTGGGGGCGCACTGACCACCAGGGGGGCAGCTCCTGCGTTGAGCGTCTGCCCCCTTGTGATTAGTGCACATCATAGGACTGGTCAAATGGTCAACCGGTAGCTTAGGATTTTATATATATAGATGGATAACTTTGTTTTTTAATATGATTTAATAACAAAGGAGGTCCCCAGTGGATAGTGGGGTTTTTGTTTGTTTTTTAAACAACAGAGCATTTCACATCTGAATTTAAAAGGGGGGAAATGTCATAGGAGACCTATCCCATCCACTAACAATACTGATGAACTAGAAACATTTCTCTACTTCTATTCCTTCACCTCAAAAACAGGGGAATAGATTCAAAAACCCATGCATTTTGTGAATTCAGATCGCCTCTTCTGAAAAATTGTTTAATTAGCATTAAGAGTCACTACAGCCCAGCCAGTGTGGCTTAGTGGTTGAGTGTCAACCTGTAAACCAGGAGGTCACTGTTTGATTCCCAGTCAGGTTTCAGTCTCGATCCCCAATAGGGGATGTGAAGGAGGCAGCCAATCAATGATTCTCTCCCACTGATCTTTCTCTCTCCCTCTTCCTCTCTATGAAATCAATAAAAACATTTAAAAAAAGAGTCACTACTATGTTTTATTAAAAAGTCACATCAGTTTGAGAACTTCTATAGAGAAATCATCTTGGCAAGTGTGATAGAACTGCCGCATAAATAAAAAGTGATTTAGCTCTCACTGGTTTGCTCAGTGAATGGGGCGTCAGCCTGCACTCCTAAAAGGTCCTGGGTTCAATTCCAGTCAAGGGCACATGCCCGGGTTGGGGCTTGATCCCCAGTGTGGGGAGTGCAGGAAGCAGCCGATGAATGATTCTCATCACTGATGTTTCTCTCTCTCTCTCTCTCCCTTCCTCTCTGAAATAAAAAATTATATTTTTTAAAAAGTGACATACAAAACTATCCATGTATGCTAATTACGGCAGTTAAAAACAGATTTGTGCACATTATTTTGTGTAGATGCATCAAATAATCAAATGTAGTTGACAAGTGTAGCTGAACAAACTGTTGACTGTTAGCTTAAGTCTTCCTAGCGTTTTTATGTAAAAGTAGCTTTTACATAACTTTTCACATCAACTTTTTAAAAAGTAAGCAACCAATTCAACTTGGAAAATCATAGACGTGTAACATCTAATATATAACACTAGTACTAAAATTCGTTATGTATTTAAGTAGCTTCAATTTCTCAGCAGAAACAGTTTTATAACTCATTCCTCACATATATAATAAAGTTAATCCTTGAACAATGTGAGGATTGGGGGCACCAACAATCCTCCCAGTCAAAATCCACAAACAACTTTTGACTCCACAGCTGGCCTTTTGCATCATGGATACAGAGGGCCAAATGTATTCACTGAAAAAAATTCTGCATGTAAGTAAGTGGACATGTGCAGTTCAAACCCATTGTTGTTCAAGGGTCAACTGTAATTTATTAAATATGAGAACCTGAACATATCTGGCATGTTAATGAAAAAACTTATTGAAACCATTTGTGCACCTGATAGTTATTTCTTCCTATCTTAGGATAATAAAAAAATCACTTCTATATTCTGTTCATTCAAATTTGCATTTAATTTCTATTTACATTCATTCATTCTGAAATCAAATACTTAATACAGTAAACTAAATACAAGATGAAAAGCAGAAAGGTGTTACCCTCATAGCACTCCTAATAAGGCAGCTGAAGAATTTATTTACTCTGATAGATGCAAAGCCAACTTGGGATAGGAAAAAAAAATAAATTTAAAGAGCAAACACAGATGAACCCATCTTTCAGGTATTACTTCAGATAATCCACTGAGATAATACTTGTGCTGTAGTGGTAAATTAAGAATCACACAATAAAAGTTTTATATTAACCAGCAAGAGACTACAGGACATGGTGTGACAAGTACTTTTATGATTGGTTTGTCCAGCTTGCCTAGAGTCTATGCCTATGAAAAAAGGTAAATGTTTGGACATTGATGTTATTTATTTGAGAAATGAACCATTTTCAAAGCCTCAAAATCCATTTTTCATAAATTCAACATTTCTCATGGGAATAATCTTAGATCTAGCCCTTGTAAGCTAGGAACCATATGACTCAGTTACCAAAATAGTTAGGTCCTATATTAAATATAAAAATCCAAGGCTCAGTATATTAACACTATTGAAGATGTATCTTCTTTATAATCATATATTACTTAAAGAATGTTGAATTTATGGAGCATCATACATGCATTCTTCCCCCACCCTACCCTCATTATCTTCTATCTCAAAAAAACAACAGCATGGAAAAATCCTTCTTGCAGGATTCAAAGTAGTTAAGACCATAAAGGGGAAAAGAATGTAATTTTCTAAAAAATCTGGTTCAAGTTCAATAATTAATACTTTACATTGTTAATCACAGCTGGTTTATAAATCCCAGTTTATTCTGTAATGCTACAAAACCTTATAAAATCAGAATTAGTAAACTTCGTTCTCAGTGACTATATTTGAATTAAAAAACAGTATGTATATAAAATTAAAAAATATCCTGTAATAGGTGACTTTAAAGAAAATAATCAGGTGATGAAACAAAAAAAGCACTTAATCTCTTTTATACACTTACCTGGAAGAATCATAAAGAACCCTCTTAGAAACTCAAGACTAGTAATATTGACATAATATATTTTAAACTATGCTTGGATTTTTACAAATAAATATAGGGTAAGCCATATTGCATAGGTGTGTGCTTTCTGTCGGTGACACTAATGTGGCACGTGACATGTTTTCACAGTCTTAGCAGGGATATCCTTTTAATGAAACAATTTCTCAATAAACCTGCCACAGCATAGGAAATTAATTTCCCCTAATGTTAACTTGGAAAATTGTATTTGTATAGATGGCAGATGTGCAATTAATGCTTTTTATGCAGAAAAGTTGCAGTTTGCCACTATTGCTGGCAGTACTAATTATGAAAATGGTTTAACTATGGGGTATTTATAGCCAGCCTATCACAGTGCATATGTTAGTAGCAAGTAGGACTGATGAGGAATATTTTGGTGTAAAAGTTTTGCTGGAATTTGGTCAGGCAGTCAACACTACAGTTAGTAAATATATTTGAAAAAAAATATCAAAGTATCACAAGCCATATGCTGTCTGAAATAGAGTCTATACATATCACCATAGCTTTTTGGGGTTTGTTTTTCCAGACATCATAAACTGTCAGAGAACAAATATCTGCACTTTAAGTACAATTTCTGCCTTATCATTATTTGTATCTTCTAATTTATTAGCTACAGTTATAAAGTACTCAGTAGGCTACTGCAATAATGGGAAAGGGGGATTACAGGGAGTGATTTAAAAAACAAAAACAAAACAGCTTTCTGTTCAAAGATGAACTATTATCAATTCTTTCATTTATTGCCACAATTGAAAAGGTATATTTCCAATAATTTTTCATGGATCTGTTTTTGCTTAATGCCATTAAGCAAAATCATCTCATCTCACTTGAATTGCCATTTAAATAAGCAAAGCTTTGCTCTTTTCTAACTGAATTCAACATGCATAAAGAATTTTATGGCTTGGATCCTATGGCTCAAAAAGGTTTGGAGAACATAGCAAGCAGCATCTATTCAAAAAGAATTGTAGGGTTGCAAAATATTACAAATTGACTTTGCACACTCAGACTAGGACATTATAAAAGACAAAAAAAGGGTAGTAAGACTCAACTGCAACTGCATGATCATCTATAATACCAGTATGCACTGAAATATATTTTCATAAAGCTCTGCAGATATTAAACCCTTTCACCAGCTAAAGTCATGGAAATGCTCTCTTTAAGGCAGGAAGTATTTAAGAAAGGTAA